CCTATTTATTTTTGAGACAGAGTCTCGCTTTGTCACCCAGGCTGGAGTGCAGTGGTGTGATCACAGCTCACTGCAGTTTTGACCTCCCAGGCTCAAGAGATCCTCCCACCTCAGCCTCCCGAGTAGCGGGGACTACAGGTGACGACCACCGTGCCCAGCTAATTTTTTACAATTTTTTGTAGAGACAGGGGACTTTCTGTGTTGCCCAGGCTGGTGTCAAACTCCTGGGCTCAAGTGATCCTCCTATCTCGGCCTCCCAAAGTGCTGAGATTACAGACATGAGCCCCAGCACCTGGCATGAGCTTTGTCTCTTATGTTTGTTGTGGAGGGACAGCATGAGGGGCACACGTGGGGCCCTCAGTAAGGCCTGCTTACAAGGGAAGGGAGTCTTCGGGGTGCCTGTCCAGAACCCACTCTTGGGATGTGGGCACACAGCAGCCGGGTGGCAGGTAAGGGCAGAGACGGTGCTGGGCAGGGGGATGGGCTGGGGGCCATACCTGACCATGACATAAGAGATGCCGAAGTCAGGCAGGGACTGCCAGGCCTGGATGAAGCGCAGCTGGGCCTCTGCCAGTGACAACTGGGCCACATTCTGGTGGGCTTCCAGGATCCGTGGAGTGAGCTGCGGGAGCATACTGGGGATGGGCTGCCAGGCACTATTCCCCTCTTCCAAAGTCACCGAACCCCCACCTCCCCATCAGGGTGACAGCATGTGAGCCTGGGAAGGGGCAGTGCCCACGGGCCACCAAGGTACACATTTGCAGTGTGCCAGGCTGCAAGGTGAACATGGGCACCTGGACCGTGACTCCTCCCAGAGGGTGGGTACCAGCTGCGCAATCTCAGGGACGCAGTGGGAGAAGCCCAGTGAGCATGTAGCTTTCCTGAGGAAGGCTCTGTGGAGACCCAGGGGTCAGGGGTCTCCGGGTAAACACTATGCTCATTCCCACCCTGACTCCTCCTGGTACCTGCTTGGCCTTGAACTTTCGCTGGAAACGGGGGGCAACCAGGCCATAGGGGTTGAGGCCTTCAGCAGAGGCATCAGGGCCCTGGGGGTGGTTGCCGGGGCCCCCGCCACCCGTGCGCTGCAGGCTGAGGAAGGCCAGGATGGCCTGCACCTCACTGGCGTAGCTGCTGTCAGCCATGGTGCGGCCTTTGGAGGCCAAGCGGCAGCCAGCCATCCAGCGGGCATACTGCTGCTCCTGGGCGAGAGGGGTGAGGGGGACAGTGCTAGCCAAGCTTGATGCTCCTTAGCCCCTGCCCCTGCCCCAGCTCCTGCCCAGCTCTGGCCCCTGCCCGGCCCTCACTCACATCCTGGCACCGCAGGTAGATCTCACTCATGCCCTCAGGGGAGGGCACTAGGAGTTTAATGCAGAACTTCTGGCCGGAGACGTTAACATCGGGGACCACCTCACAGCCTGGAGGGAGAGAAGCGGTGGTCTAGGAGGTTGGAAGGGGAAGAGCCGCCTGAGGTCCTCGAGTGCATGCTAGCCCCACACCGTCACCTCAGAACAGAGAGCATCTTCCCCCATCTCCAGGAGGAAACGGCCAGTGGGAGCGACAGGTGAACCCCACCAGCCCCTGGCCCTGTGCACTCACCCTTGAGGTTGAGCTGCTGAATGGGGTCCCCAGGGGCCTCATCCTGGCTCTTGTAGTAGGACAGTGTAGTCTCCTTGAACACCACCCAGTGCTGGCGGTAGCCCTTCAGGGTCAGCTTCCGGGGCCTTCATGGGGTGTGGCAGTTTGTGAAAGGCCGCCTCGCCCCCTCCCTCCATACGCAGACCAACCCCTCCAGCAGGGCTGCCTACTCTGGCCCCCAGCTCACCGGAAGATTCGGAGATAGTCCTTGAGCTCTGGGATAGTGGTGAGGCTGTCCTGTGGGAGGACCAGAGTCAGAGGGGCACCCGGTGCCTCATACTTGTCCCTGCCCAGCCCTTCCCCGAGCCCCTCCTCACCAGCACATCCGTGGGTGCCGACCCCTCCAGCTTCACCTCCAGATTGCTCAGGGCCGCATCCAGGTCGTCCAGCCCTGGGTCTGTGCCAGCCGGCTCCCCCACCTCCCCGCTCTGGGATAGCTTGTTGATGTGGTACTAGGTGGTCATGAAGCCAGGGAGGGCTGAGTCCAGCAACCTGGTCCCCAGGTCGGGCTTCCCTGGAGGTAGCCCCCACTCAGGAAGGCCCTTCCTGCCCTGGGACTGGCCCACCTCCCAGCTGCCCTGGGGCCCCCAAGCCCGCCTGGTACCTGCAGGGCAGCAAACACCATCATCTCCTCCTCAGTGCAGTCAATCTCCTCCAGTAGCAGGTCCCACCGGGCCTGCTCATACAGCTGCGTCAGCCGCACGGGGTCTGTCTGGAGTGGTGGGAGGGGAGGCTGGGCTGGTCAGGTGCCAGCTGCCCTGGACGCCCTGCACTCAGCCCCTGCCAGCCTTGGCCTTCTGCCCTGCCCTCCTTGCTGAGGCAGATTCATTCAGTGGCTGGACATGGGCCGCAGACCTCAACCCCACCCTTACAGCCTGCCAGCCCCCTGCTGCCAGCCCCCCAGGCCTGCACATCTAAATCTGGGCTCGGTTGTGCAGATGTTTACTGTGTGCTGGCATGCTGCCCTGGGTGCAGGGGAGACCGAGTAAACCAGTCAATAAGTCAAGTAATTCAAGGCTGCAATAAACACTATCAAGGAAACAGTTTCCACAGGGAAGCTCAAGTTCAGTGGAGATGAGCGAATGGAACACGCGGAAGCAGTCAGGGAAGGCTTCCCTGAGGAGGTAACAAGCTGAGTAGAGACAGGAAGGATGACAATGGGCCACTCAAGGGAAGAGTGAAGGAAGAGGATTCCAGAGA